ACCTGGCTGGCCTCCTCCCATCCCCAGCAGTACATGGGAAGCTGGCTTCAGCTGCATGCTGCTTTTCCTGGCCGGTGCTGACCTGGTTCTGCCCAGGCGGGTCCTGCAGCACCATGTCAACCCGGGCATGGCACCGGCAGGCCAGGCAGGCCCCAGGTTAACCCCGGCCTGGCCCTGTGGCTTCTCCAGCACCGGGTAAACCCAGTTGTAGCCAAGCTGCTTCAGCAGCACTATGTCAACCTGGGCATGCATGCCATGTCAACCTTTGCAACATCACTGGTGTCAAAGGTCATGTGACATCACTTCCTGATATGATACCACTTCCTGTGACGTCTTTGAATATGGCTTGCCAGCCCACTGGGTAATAAAAAGTTCGTGATCCGGCCCCACATTCAACAAGGTTGGACACCCCTGGGATAGACTGTAGTCCCCGTGTCAGGAGAAGGTTGCATGTGCCCAAAAGCTTGTGAAGAAGAACATTTTTTTCAATGATTCAGTAGGTCTAATAAATAATACCACATTTACCCAAAGAACCTTGTCTGCTTATATGCCTGAAACACTCAGAACTCCTCCAAACTTCAAGCACAACAGTTGTTTTACATCTGCCAAGCTTATGCATTTTCAATAGGTTACAAAAATCTTTGAAACTCGCACCCACAAATGATCCTTCAGTTCACTCATCCATTACCAACCAGATATTCCAATGTCTCATTTCTCATCCACACATAGATGTCTCCTACGCTTCTTGCACGGAGGAATGCAACTATGGCCAAGAGACAACACAGCACATTGCATTGCCCAGATACAGTCTGCATCTGTGGTACTCACTGTTTTGGCCCTGCAGTCAAGATGAAAGGCATGGTGCTGGTCTGTGGGCCAGATCAGACCCTGCACCACCCTCACACACTGGATTGGGCCCCAGGGCCTCACATGCAGGATTGGAGCCCCAGGCCACCTCCACCCAGCGCTGTGTGCTGGGAGCAGGGCCCCAGGCTGCTTCCACCCAGCCCCAGGCACTGAAACTGGGGACCTGAAGTCCTGCACTGCCACTGCCTGGCCCCATGCACCAGAAGTGGTGCTTCCTGCCATGTCCATCTATCCCTGCATGCTGGAATTGGGCCCCTCATTGTCCTGCACAATTTATCTACCACACAGGGCCATGGCCTGCAGGGCTCCCCATGTGCCCATGGGGAGCCCCACCGGCTGGATAATCTGGCTCTAGGGGTTAACCACCCCATGTCTAGGTACGAATCTTTAGTCTCGTCCACCATTCCTCTGAAAAAAACAGAATACCCAGTCTACCACAGTCTACTTGTTATGGACTGAAAATCCCACTGCGAGTTTCCTTGACCTCTTCCCATTTCAGGTCAGTGACTCACATTTCCAGATACTAGCTACATGCCAAAATCTTCAACAGAGCTACTTTGATTTATATCAAACTGAGAATCCAGAACTTCGGGTTTATTTTCATTCATTTTACTTGAAACCTACATTGTATGCTGCATGGCTTAGGCTACTCAATTCACTAACCTAGGCTCAGAATATTTATCATAGAGAAAACAGCCATCATCTTTGTAGAATGCATTATGTTTCTAAGTTTTAATTAATGATTTCAAAATATTTTAAAGCTTGAGGTGGTTGTCTTAGAAGCACTTCCTCATTACTGGGTTATGAGCCAGAGGTAAGATTGTTCTGGAGTATCTTGCATGAGTTTACTTATGCCACATAAACAGTACTGTATTTGGAGAAGGCATCTAATTTCCATGTTCAAAGTTTTTCATTTTTTAACCTACCCCCCATTTCCTCCATCCTCACTGCAACATAGAGACTACAGAGCTCCACAAGGCATTCCTATGCTCCACAATTTCTGGAGTTTCAGGATTCAACAAGACTCTTGGCTACCACAAACTTGCTGCAGAGCTCTTGAATTCGACAGGGTCTATGGATGCCCACCAGGCTCAGTAGCTCCAAGTATTATTCTTTGCCTAACACAGTTCTGCGGGGTCTATACTGCTTAGAATAATCCACAACTCTCTATACTGCTCTATTGCTTGTAGGTACATTTACAAATCTTTTATCTTGCCATGTGAACCTTATAACAGCTTGCATTGATAAATCATTTTTAAACAAGTCTTTTAAAATAGTGTTATAAGCATCTCCACACCATTTTGAAAATTTACTCAAATAGATGCTTAGAAATTGCATTATAATTACTTTAACCAACTGCCTGCAAATATTCCCTAAAAATACTAGTTTAACTTAAGGCTAGAAATAGGCATGGTTGGATTAACGCATATGCAAACTAGGCACATGCCTAGGGCCCTAAGTGAAGGAGAGGTCCAGTTGTGCTTATTTTGCATATTATAATTATTGAGTGAAAAAGTAATATAAATATACAGTATTAAAGTAGGGGCCCATGAGTTTATTCACTTAGAGCCCACTAAAGAGTTAATCCAGCCCTGGAAATAGGTGTCACCAAATGAAGCACTGCTGATCCGCTTCATTTGGCAAAATACACACCAGTCCTTCATGGTGCAGGACAAAGATGATATAATCTCCCCATTTCCCTGCTCAGATGGAACTCCCCACCCCACACCACCCTGCCACCGCTGCAATCATTGGGGACAGATCTAGCTGAGCTGGGAAAGTGGGGCTTTTTGCCACTCAGCCAGACCCATCCCCCACAACTGCTGGGGATCAAGTCTGGCTGAGTGGAGAAGGGTCTGGCTGAGCAGGAACCCCGACTTCACCACTTATAGAGAGGCACCGCAGATTCCCTCTGCCTCTCTGTAAGCAGGGAAATTGGGCATGAGTTTCTCAGGCTTGAGGAATCCTTAAGCCCCCAGAGCATCTGCCTGGGATGACTGGAAAGTAGGAGCAGCTCAGACTGCTCTATTCTCCCACTCCAGACCTAATAGATGTCTGCCACAATAAAGTGGCAGAGTCTAGTACTACCCGTTGTTGAGGCACTATTTTTTTTTTGATGTGGCACACCAAAGAGTAGCAGCATCTATTAGTTCATCATTTGTGCCGCCAGAAATATTTTTTGTGGAGGCACAAATGAGATGTCAGGTGATGTCTGTCTCTAAAATAAATCAGTCCTGTACCAAGTTATACAAAGTGAAAGAATATAGGATGAATAATAAAATGCAGGATGCAACTTTAACCCTGGACTTGCAGTAATAAATCTAGGTACCGCTAATACATATGTACATGAGGAGCTGGGGCTAGAACACCTGTATTTAACTCCTAAAACACAAGCCTCGATCTCCTGAATTAATTCCATAAGCAAAGAAATGCAGCTGCTAACTGCTGTAGACTAGGGATGTCAAACTTGACTGCCCCCCGACCCTGCTCCCAGGTTGGATCTGGACCATGAGGAAACCAGTTCTGGATCCCACAGTGGTGCAGGAGTTAAATACAGCCATCAGCCATTGCTCTTCCCCTCCACCTTCCCACTGCTGCCGACATATCCCTAATGGAGATATGCTCCTGGAAATTTGGCAACAGACACTGCCCATGCCCCTGAATTCCTGGTACCTGCAGGAGCTCTGCAAACCTAATCTTTGACACCCTGTTATTTACAGACTAATCAAGTCAACCACTAGAAGCAATCTCTCTCTCTCTTATGGTAGTGTTAGAGTGATGTTGATCCAATAAGAGATATCAGCCAAAGACACCCTTGCATCTCTCTTTTATAAAGCTAGTACATTACTCTGGCCTTTGGTGATGTGAGCAATGTTTAATACAGTTTTAAGGTACAATC